AGTGCCTTGTCTGGGACTCAGAACCTCTAGATGCACAGGACCTGGAGTTACCAAGATGCTAAGCACTAATTCTGTAAATGGATCAGTGGGAAGGATGGAAAGCAGGGCCACTCCTGCTTCTACCCTTTGGATACTGATCTCATGTATTCCACCTGTTGGGGATGCACAAACATACAATTTTCATTGCTTTGGAGTTTACACTGAGTTCTGGAGAAGGATGTCCTGTTCTTCCAGGATATCATCCTCAAGTTGGTGCTTGAGCTGAATCTTCAAAGGGCCATTCTATTGCTCTACCGAGTTGGCAGTTTCCTTTGTGTTGCGGTAAGTGATAGAGCCAGTGTGTCTCATGGTCATATTTCCACTCTCATGGTCATATTGCCACTCTCATATCTTCCCTCGCTACAATGCAACATTGTGTGGGATCTAGTGTTGGTGTAAACTCTTGGATAGTAGTGCTAACTAAAGACTTGTGGCCAGGAAAGGCAAACTCAGATCTAGAGTATGTGAATTCCTGTCAATTTGAATCCCTACTTTTTCCAAGGTGGAAGGGATCCAGTGTAATCAAGTTGCCCCCAAGTGGATGAAGTCACATTAGGGCTTAACACATTGGTTTCTGTGGCTAGCAAGTTGGATATTTGGTGGTGCTAGGAGCTAGATTAGTCTTAGGGAATAGGGATTAATGGTACTGGGCCCATGCATAATGTTTGTGCTATCATGTCTTTGCTGCATTTGTGTGGCCATTGTGCAAGCCCAAAGGCCAATGACAGAGACTAGCCCTATATCAACAAGCCAAGTCATTCTTTCTACTTGTCTGTTTACTGCTTCTTTTGTGATGAATGCTCCCTGATGGCATTACTATGTAATACAAGGATCATCCCACTTATGCCTTCTCATAGACCCATTCATAATCCTCTCTTTCCCAGGTCTTTATCTTTAGTCTTCCAGCTGTTCCATTTCCAGGGCTCTTGACCAACCAGCCAAGCCATTTGCTACTACCCATGACTCTATACGTATTCTTATGTCAGCCCACTTATTTTTCCATACAGAGTAAATTACCAGATTCACCACCTGAAGTTCAGCTATGGGGAAGAATTTTTCCCTAACTACCGTCTTTCAAAGCCATCACTCTGTGGGACTGTATAGCATAGCAGGGGCCTGTTTGCAGCTTGTATTCACACACTGAGCTGAGAACCAAGATTAGCCTTTTTCTTTCTCCACAAGCTGATTATAAGGGTCACCAGGGTTCTGCAGGTGTTAACTGAGGAAGGAGGTACTGGTGGATCAGTACTGTACTGGGTGTCATAGGGGTCTGGGCTACCAGCTCATGCAGCTTACCTGTGCCCTGTGGTCCTACTCATGCCAATTCTAGATCAAATTCTTCCCTATTACAATGGGTAAGTTCTACCTGACCTTATGACTTGGTGGCTCTGACAAAACCCAGTTCATGATGGAAAGCTCCTACTGGTTGGTAACTGGGTGGTAACTGGGCGTTCTGTGGGCAGAAAATCTGTCTCTACAGGGCCCATAAGTGAACCATGAGTAGTTGTTGTTTTGTTTATTTTTATATGGTGCATAATTTCTTACTGCATAAATTCTGCATAGTTGTTTCCCACCTCAGTGACTCTGTGTCTGCTGGGCCATGAGGAATTTCCCAGATCCCGGTCTGGTTGCAGAGACCTCTCCTGATTGGTGCCCCTTTCAATGGAAGACACTCTTGTCACTCAGTACATGGATGGCTGCAATATTCTGAAATGTGGGATAGCTGCCTCCAGAACACACAGAGGTGTAGCTGACAGAGTGAAATGTGAGATGCAGTGTGAAATGTGAGGTGTCCTTCCTTTCGGATGGGTTGCCCTGGTAAGTCCTTTTTTTTTTTTTGAGACAGAGTCTCTTTCTATCACCCATGCTCGAGTGCACTGGCATGATCTTGGCTCACTGCAACCTCCAGCTTCCAGGTTCAAGAGATTCTCATGCCTCAGCCTTTTGACTAGTTGGGTCTACAGACTATGTCACACCTGGCTAATTTTGTGTGTGTGTGTGTGTGTGTGTGTGTGTGTAGAGATGGGATTTCACCATGTTGGTCAGGCTGGTTTCAAACTCCTGGCCTCAAATGATCTGCCTGCCTTGGTCTCCCAAATTGTTGGGGTTACAGGCATGAGCCACCCCACCTGGTCCCTGGTATGTCTTTGATCATTAGACCCTCAAAAACTTCATTGACTTGGTGGGTCTCTGAAATTTCTTACAGCTTATCTCCCACCCTCTGGAGAGCATGCATCTCACCAAGGTCATCTACTGTCATCTTTCACGATCTATCTTGTTTTTGTAGGAATCAGACTGGTGAATTAATGTGATATGATGGGACCTACCACCCTTCCATCATATACATATTTTCTACATTGGATGGTGCAGGAACAACTTGAGAGACTTCCACTTGACCTACTGCGCCATCATGGTTCTTGCCCAAAGGTCCAAGGAGCCACTCTGGAGATCTGCCAAGTTCCAAGGATATCTATTTTGATGATACATTTTGGGGACTTGGAAATTACCATTAGGTGGACTTCCTCAGAGCTGGATCTGGGCCTGGATTCTATTTTTTCCCCAGCTCCTTCATGTGTACACTCAGGCCATTTTGCTAGGAAGCAAAATGAGGGTGAGTGTTGGGGAGAAGCTGAAGATCTTGAATAGGAGAGGTTCAATTTGGTTCCCAGTCTGAGAAAGCTGCAGGAGATTTGATGAAGTAGCCTTGGGTTTCCCAACATGGAAGACATGCAGATGGTATTAAATAATATAGGATATTATATTTATACATTAAATCATATTGAGTTACAAGGTAGGACAATTATTCCTTTTCCAATTCAACATGTTTGAATATTTGCTGTGGTTCCAAAATGGACAGGCTGAGGCCTGTTGCATGGGAGTTGGGACAAAAATAATTTTCCCATACAAATATGGCCTGGAAATTGATGGATTTTTATAGTATTGCCTTCCTCAAAGTCTGAAGGTGGAATTATTCTGTTGTCCTGATTCAAGAAATATAGAAGGACAGCTTTCTGCAGAGGAATTAATGGGCTTTTCCTGCAAGCTTATTTCTCCAGCTTATTCCCCACCTTAGATATGATGTCTCCACCTTCTTATCTTAAGCAACACATGTGACTGTGTGGGCTGTGAACACAGGGGAATCACTCGAATCTCACCAATCTAAAAATGAGGAAAAAGGGTGGCCCTATTTTGCCTTCTTGTTCTGAAAAATTTAATGTGTAAATTTAAATTAAATTTTAAAATTTAATCCTATGGAAGAACATACTTTCTAGGATTTAAACTGAATACGGAACTCCCTTGGGTCAGAATGCCCCTTCTAAAACTTGACATGTTCTCTTCCGGTCTCTTCAGTTACTTTGCCCAGCTTAAGGTAAAGCCAACTTTCATGGAACTCATTTTTATCATGCTGGAGATCAAAAGCGGAATAACCTTGGGATGTGGAATTTTCTGATAAAAGAAATCATAAGATTGTGTGTTAGTTTTTGATTGCTGCTGTAACAAGTTCCTGCCAACTCCGTAGCTTAGACAATACAAGTTTATCATCTTGCAGTTCTATTGGTTGAAATCTGACACAGGTACCACTGGACTAAAATCAAAGTGCCAGTAAGGCTGTGTTCCATTTGGAGGCTGTACTAGGCTGTTCTCACGTTGCTAATAAAGACATATCCAAGACTGGGTAATTTATAAAGGAAAGAGGCTTAATGGACTCACAGTTTCACATGGCTGGGGAGGCCACACAATCGTGGTAGAAGATGAAGGAAGAGAAAAGGCACATCTTACACGGCGGTAGGCAAGAGAGCAAGCATGTGCAGGGGAACTGCCCTTTATAAAACCATCAGGTTTCCTGAGACTTATTCACTATCAGGAGAACAACATGGGAAAGACCTGCCCCCATGATTCAATTACCCCCAACTTGGTCCCTCCCAATGACACGTGGAAATTATGGGAGTTACAATTCAAGATTTGGGTGGGGACACAGCAAAACCACAATGGAGGCTCAAGTACAGAATTCATTTCCTTGAGTTTTCCAGCTTCTAGGGGCCACCGTTTTGCCTTGACTCATGGCCCTTTTGTCTACCTTTAAAGCTAACAACGTTGCATCACTCTGACACTTCATATTTTTCACTTTGATCAAAGCCAGGAAGAGTCTTTTTTTTTTTTTTTAAAGAATTTAAGTAGTTAGTTGGGGCCCTCTTGGATAATCCAGGGCAAACTCCCATCTCAAGTATTTACATTTTAATCACACCTGCAAAGTCCCTTTTGTCACGTGAATTAACAGAGTCCCAGGACCAAGCTTAGGGTGTGAACATTTTGATGGGGCCATTATTCTGCCTACCACAGATTGTGACATGTCAAAGTCATAAGGAACCTTAGATTCGAATTTCTGACCTCTCACTCATTTTCATTTTGGAGTTCCTTCCAAGGCACTCTTTTTTGTGTGTGTTTCTTTGAGACGAAGTCTTACTGTGTCACCCAGGTTGGAGTACAGCGGCATGATCTCAGCTCACTGCAACCTCTGCTTCCCAGGTTCAAGCAATTCTCCTGCCTCAGCCTCTGGAGTAGCTGGGATCACAGGCACCACCACCATACCCAGCTAATTTTTGTCTGTTTAGTAGAGACAGGGTTTCGCCATGTTGGCCAGACTGGTCTTGAACTCCTGACCTCAGGTAATCCACCCACCTTGGCCTCCAAAGCACTGGGATTATAGGCGTGAACCACCGCACTGAGCCCCAAGGCATTCTTAATAGATGTGCATCCATCCTCGGATCGAATATCTGCTCATAGGCTCATAGCAAGTTCACAGCTTCCATGAGGTTTAGGTATTCAACATCTTGTTGACTTCTTCAACATCTCTTAAGCCTTTTTTTTTTTTTTTTTTTTAAATCAGGCTTGAGTCTGAAATTCTATAGAATGAACACAGCAAAAAGCTATCTGAATAGGACTTTTGATTGGCTCCACAGGACCACATCACAGACAATGCTATGTTTGCAGGCAGATACTGCGTTTGCCTTTGAATTTTTCCCACCAGACACTGGACACAAGAGGTGTCCTTTTGGTGATGAGCAGATACGAGTTGATTTAACCATCAGCTTTAAATTGCTTCTTAGCCTTGTGCAAGCCAGAGAGTTGGTCAGTGTCCTGGTCACATGGTCCATTCATTTATTTACTTATTCACAAATATTTACGGAACCACTGCTTCGTGTCAGGAATTGGTTTAGGTACCTGGAATCTGCAGTGAGCAAGGCAATGTCTTTTCCCTCATGGAGCTTCCATTCTAATACTGGGGGTGCGGTGAGAATTCATAAATCAGTCTATGTTGCAGTATCTCAGAGAAATGAGCGCTAAGAAGAAACACGAAGCAGAGTCATGTGAAGGTGAAGAGGAGAGAATGATGGGGTTCTTCTGCATGAGACGGCCATTCACAGCTCTACTCAATGCCACCTCCCCCAGAGAGGGCTTTCTCACCATCTCAGAATATTTTATCACACTTCTCCCGAACCTGAGATATTAACCAAACCTTGTTTCCATCCCTCGTTTTCTTACATGATCCTCCCTCCCTGACCCCCTGCCAGCCAAATTCCTTCAAGCTCAGGAGCTGTGGCATCCTGTTACCGTGCTTCAAGAGAATGTTGATAGAGCGGAACTAATACTTTCTAAAGTTTTTTTTTTGAGACAAGGTCTCACTCTGTCACCAGGACTGGAGTGCAGTGCTGTGATCATGGCTTACTGCAGCCTTGACCTCCTTGGCTCAAGCGATCCTCTCACTTTAGCCTCCCAAGTAGCTGGGATTACAGGTGTGTGCCACCATGCCCAATTATATTTTATGTATTTTTGTTTTTTTGAGACAAGGTCTCACTCTGTCACCCAGGCTGGAATGCAGTGGCACGATTTTGGCTCACTACAACCTCTGCCTCCTGAATTCAAGCGATTCTCCTGCCTCAGCTTCCTGAGTAGCTGGGATTACAGGCATGTCCAAGTACACCTGGCTAATATACATAATTTTTGTATATTTAGTAGAGACAGGGTTTCACCATGTTGGCCAGGCTGGCCTCGAACTCCTGACCTCAAGTGATCTGCCTGCGTTGGTACCCCAAGGTGCTGGAATTACAGGCAGGAGCCACCACACCCAACCTCATTTTTATGTATTTTTATATTGTAAATACAAGGTCTTCCTCTGTTGCTCAGCCTGGTCTCAAACTCCTGGGCTCAAACAGTCAAAAGCATTTTGATTTGTCAGGGCCAGGTTTTGTGGATAATAGTCCTGAGGTGCTTAGGGCCTCACGTTTATGTCGCATGTTATAGTTACAGGAGAGGAGAACAGCCAATCTGTTGGGTCTCAGGTGAATGTTCCTTGGGGTGTGTAGGAGAGTGGGGAGGGGACAAAGAAGGTGGGGTATGTCCCCTTATGTCCATGACAATTATATGTGTTAGGTATCAGTACCTAAAATTATGGATAATGCTGAGGACAGGAAATCACTTGCTGAAGGTTCCACAACCAGTACACGTCGTAGGTAGGACTATGATGCCATCTCTTTCTTGTCCCAAATCCATGACCCCTGATTCCAGCATGTCTTAACTTTCCCCTCACTGAGTGTCTGCAGAGAGTTTTGTTCCCAACCTTGGGTCCTGGGGGACCCCACATGTCCCAGGTGCCTTAATAGAAATATTGGGGTTGATTTGAGTCAATGGGATCTGGCAAACAGAGACGATGGATTGGTCTCATTAGTTATCTCATCACCTAGAAAATCCTTCTGAGATGTTTCCTTTGGGCTGGTTAACTTCAAACATGAAGGAGCTCATTGAATAGGAAACAGCTGAATGTTTCCAATTTGGCATGTTCCCCCTGACTAGCCCAGGAACTGGGAGCTATGAGGCTACGCCCCCAGGGTCCCCCTCCCTGCTGACTTCACCAGTGTTGCTTGTCTTGCTCCTTTGGTGGGAGGACAGATGCCTACTACAAGCTGAGACAATCCTAGGTTGAATGCTTGCGTATTTGCATAATGGTCAGGGCAGTGCAAGACTTCGCTTCAAGGGAAAGTCTGTAATATAACCGGCTAAGCCTCCGAAAGCCTGCTGCAAACCTCTCTAATAAGGATCGAATCCCAGTGTGGCCGTCAAAACAGCTGGAAAAGTTGCAACCCCAGTCAAACGAGAAATTGGGCAAATATCTTGACACAGGAAAACGGCACGTGTACCCTGGTAGAAATTATACTTTTACAGTTATTTTTACATCCAAACATTACTCTTTGAGCGCCGTCATATTTTATGAAAACTTTTATTAACATTTCAAAATGACCTTACCCTCATGGTGGGATTGTCAGTCCCAGGAGCCGTAACCTATTTAAAACATTTTTATCTTTACAAACACAATAAAGTAAGCTGTCTTCCACAGATTTGTAGATCTCATTAGAGATACTTTTTAAGAAGGTAGTGCGTCTCTGGGGAAGATAATGACAGGTTGTAATCTTTGCATGCAAAGTTTTCAAACACGCACATTTTGTGCAAATGAATTATTTCATCTTTTTAGCATTGTCGTCACCAGATCTGCTTTGTAATTGCTCTGGTATTCAATGGGGATGGCTAGGGCTCTGGCTGCCCTGAATAGGGCAAGACACCTTGGATAGGATGAAACCGGTGTTCCCCATACAGTAGCTCTCCATTTGGCTTGGCCGTCGGAGGTGAGGTGAGGGCTCGAGCAGGACAGGGGCACAAGAAATCTCACGCAGACACCAGAGACAAAATGACCCTTTCCTCTGACTAAAGCCCACTTGGTCCTCTAGGTTGTAAATGAGGCTTTTCCCTTGGGTAGTGACTAGCGTAGGTGGCCGTCGAGGTGGGTAATATTTCAGAACTGCTGCTCCAAAGGGCCAGTGTCCTAAAGGCTTTCCTGCTTAAATGGTCTTTTTATGTAGCGAGATAATGCAGCTTGTGCATTGCTAAATCAGGCCTATTTTCTGAGGAATGGTTGCATTCATGGCACTTCTAATTTGTCAGGAGAAATGCAGACCATCTCTCCAGGAGTCTGCTTAAGAGGACATCATTTCTCCACGAGCTCTGCCTTGGGTCAATGTGCAGCACGGCTGGCACTCCAGCCCCTGTTGCTTCCACCTCCTGGGGTTGCTCTGATTTATTAGGATTAAACAAGCCATGTCCTCCTCCTGACTCAATCCGCAGGGTGAACATCCCCACGTCCTTCCCCTGCTCTCTCGCCCCTTTCTCTTCTAAAGCCAAAAGACAGAAGAAGAGTCACTTTACAAATGTGGCCTCTGTCTTGTGGGAAATGTTGCCAATGAAGTTTCACTCTGCCGGGCTGTGATGGTGACGTAGGGGCACAGGTGGTCCCAGACGAGGCCAGGGCGCTGGACAGGCAGGCTCTGGGAGTGGCAAGCGGCTGTCTTTCTGGTCCTCTGATTGTGAGATGACAGTCAGACCACAGGGTTTTGGAATGCCAGAGGCGAAGCCAAAGCCGTTGGTAATTGACTGCTGTTCCTTTCCGTCAGTGTCAGAATGGGGGATAAAGCCCAAGTGAGTCACACTGCTGAATGCCCCCAAGTGTTTATCTTACAATCATTTCAATTGCATTTCTCTTTGAGCTTCCTTCTTCTATGGATCTCACTTAAGGAAGCTCAGCTCTGGCTTGGCCTCCATAATAAAGCTTTTTGTTGGGTGTGGCTTTGTGGTAGTATTATTATTTATCTTATGAATCGTATAAATATGATCTGATTTCTACCTTGGGTCCACTCCCTGCCATCTTACCCCCTTATGCAGGGCCTTTGTTCTGAGGCCCCCCACCCCCACCCCACGCCGAGACCTCCTTCTGCAAAATGCATGTACTCCACACCTGACTGCAGGGGCAAGACCCTGATTTTGTCCCTTAGCAATTTGTCACTGCAGCTAAGTTACTCATCTCCCCTGTGGGCTAATAATGGGTCCACCTCCCAGGGCCATTGTGAAGACTGACCAAGTTAAAATACAACTCCAGGAATAGTGCTTGTCACATGGAAAGCCCTCAGGAAGCAGACGCTCTGTTTCTGCTGTGAATTGCCTGGGCTCCCTGGGGGAGATCTCCACTGACTGCTTTGTCTGGGTGGCCCTGCCTTGCTCCCTGGTCTCTAGCAGGCTTCCCAGCCTGGCCATCCAAACAGCTGGAAAAGCTGCAACCCCAGACAGTGTTTCCAGCCGGGACCCCAGGAGTTTTCTCACCACTCAGGCTATTTCACAACAACCCCTGTGCATGTGAGCCCAGCCACAGGAGCAGGTCCCATGAGGACTGTGGAGCCGGGATGCAGGACGTAGGGCTAAGTGAAGGCTTCAGCTCCTCTGAGTTGAGAGCCACACCTGGCCGTGTCAAGCCTGCTTTCCTGAGAGGCCCCATTAGGCTGAGGAATGAGTTCGGAGTCATCCTGCCCAGCAGCCATGAGCTGTTGGCCTTTGTCCTGGGGGCAAATCAGGGTCTGGCTGCCACAGATTCACAGCTTGGTGTGCAGAGCAGTGGAGCGTTCCTAGAGGAAAAGCCTGGGGCCTGATGTGCCCTGAGGCTCACTTCTGCCTCAGTCTTTCCATTTGAATGATGCTTCTATACCTCTTTTTTTTTCTTTGAGTCACTTTCTCTATCTGTTGCCCAAGCTGGAGTGCAGTGGCATGGTCATAGCTCACTGCAGCCTCCACCTCCTTGGCTCAAGTGATCCTTCTGCCTCAGCTTCCCCAGTAGTTGGGACTACAGGCATGTGCCACTGTGCCTGGCTAATTTTTAAATTTTTTGTAGAGAGAGGGTTTTGCCATGTTGCCCAGGCTGGTCTTTAACTCCTAGGTTCAAGCTATCCCCCGCCCCTGTCCCCCAGCCGCGTCCCCTGCTAGGCCTCTCAACGCACTGGGATTACAGGCATGAGCCACCATGCCTGGCCTCTTTACCTATTCTTGAGTGTACATCCAACTCAAGTGGCTTCCCAGTTCATCCACCATGTATTGTTGGCTTATCCAATCTACGCATGCATTTTGAGGGCCTACTGTGTGTACAAAGACGTGGGAAGCCAGGCACTCTCTTCCACTTGTTTTTTTTTTTTACATTGAAGCCCAGCTAAGAACACAGATTTGTTCATGAAATATCTTTTCCTCTGGCTTTATTCATTCTGAGTAAGTAATGAATTCGGCTGAAGCTTTAGTCTTGTTAGGAAAAATTGTTCTAGGAACCAAGGGCATGAGGCCCAATCTCTAGGTTAAGTTCATTAGGCATAATATTAGAAAAAAAATTAGTTTTTTGTCTGACACCTTTTCCAGTGGTAGAAGCTGGATTGAAAAGTTTCCAACTTGGCTGTGTAATCCGGCATCAGGAAAACTGCTGCCCTCCTCAACCCATGTGCATTTTAGTCTCCCCTATCCTGGATTCTGCTCAACAGATCAGCCCTAATCCTACACAGGCACGGTGCAGTCAGAGATGGTTGTGTCGCAGGGTTGAAGGCAAGAAAGACAGATGTGTGCCTGCCCCCAGTTGCGAGAGCGCAGAGGCAATGATGATGGAACAGAAGGCAAGAGGCTGTCATCATTCACATCACAAGGACCAGAGACACCCTTCCTGGGAAGAGAGCTGACAAACCTTCCGTGGTAAGGGGTGAGCATCCTTGGGAAGCCACAGAGAGCAAGGCGCAGGTTTTCATTGATCACCACCATCAAGATGCTCCCAGAATCGTGCTGTCTAGGAAACCATTTAAACTGGTGAGAAGAGGATACAGCATTTGACAATGGTTGTTTTGTTTCAAGACACATGCATTAAAAATACATCTGAAATTCGGGACACAAGGAATCTAAATAATGTTATTAAATTTCTTGTCGAAGAGGGTCTCCGGGGAGAGCGGCTCCGCTCTTTACGAAAAACTCACAGAACTCAACTTGCCTGAACAAAGTGTCTTCGTTTCTTTTCTCTTTTCCCTCTCTCTTTCTGCTTTTTCCATTTCCCACTTTCCTATTTCTCCCGAGGAGACAAACAAATCTCTAAAGGACTATTAAGTTGCAAATATATCGGAGCCAAAAATAGAAGATGGAGCCTTATAAACATTTTGCATATTTTGGTGTAATTTGTTGAAAAGAGTACAAAATATGCTCACAGTTGGCATCTAGAATGCAAATATTAGGAATCCAGTCCCCTGGTACATTATGGTTTTTCAGCAGTATAGTGTGGGCTCGTCCAATTGCTATTGTGTGACTTTGTAGTTTGTTGGAGTGTGAATAATATCTGTGACTTGTTTGTACAGTATATTAGGGAGATACATGTCGCCAAGTATTATTAGCTCCTCTGGAGACTCCAAGGGACAAAAAAGCCCGGAGTGGAACTCAGGGAGAAACAGATACATATATTTTTAACGTCACTGATGCCAGTTGCTTTTCTGAGCAGTTTCCTTAAAATAAAAACCAGGTCATGGATCAAAGTGCGCAGGGGGTTTTCATGTTCCAGAACGTGGGGGTTAAGTGGGGAGAGTTTCAATGAGGGGAACTGCAGTGCGTGTTGGAACTGATGGAACACTCTCCCACCCGGGGCTTCAGTGAGCCTGACTGGTTTTACTGCTGACAGTACATTTGTCTTTCCTTTCCCCTGACAGGTGAGAAGCCATCCTCTCTTGAATGGGGGCTCCCACTGTACATCTGGCACCCACTTCACAGGTGAGCCTTTCCGCTCCTCAATGATGTCTGGTAAGAAAAACAAGATGTCTTTCTTAGTTATAAATTTAACTCTTCCATGATTAGTCTGGGCAATTAGGACACCCCTGGGGTTCAGTCTAGGGCTGAGGCACAAGCTGGAAGTCTGATTAGCTCAGGTCTCTTGATGCTTGTTCCTGGTAGTAAATGCCTGGCACATATAGTATTGATTTTCATTTAGATATCTTAATGTTTCCAGACAATCCCGGCAGATGTGGGCTGAACTCAGATCGGCGGGAGCGCCGGTCTGCAATCTGCAAACATTTTTCTTGCCACTTTGTTTCATTTTTCCTAAACTTAACTGATTTGGAATCTGGAGATATAAATGAAAAATGCCGAGTCGGCCTATCAATCACGGCATGCACAAACATCGCCACTGCCCTTCCTAACATCCTATTACCACTGGGTAGTTGGCTAGTCAAACAGGAATAAAAATTACACTGCAAACATCATAAGTTAGGCTTGATTTGTTGAGCAAGTAGCCTGACAATTCGGTAAGAGTTATATACCTCAGCTTCGCTGAAAATCAGGCTTGTTATGGCTCTGGTACGTCTATAAAGATCGTTCATTTCATATAAAACAGCTACCTGCACTGAACGCCCTGAAAGGAAGAATGATGCTGGTTATAAATATAGAGGAAAATCTATTTGTCTGCCTCTTCATGCTGTTAGCAAGTCACACGGAGGGCGTTTCTCGGCAGCAGGGGGAGTTCCGTGCGGCCACCTTCCCCTCTGCCGGGCTGGCCTGGATTGAAGCGTATCATCGCTCTTTGTCATATGAGATAAAGCAGTGAAGTGTGACCGGTGCCACCGCCTTGCTCTCTGCCCACCAGGGGGACGCTAATGATATTGCAAAACTAGACGGCATTGCATTTAAACCAAACGCGAGGGGAAGGCTGTCTGTTGGCCGGCTGGGCCGGATAACAGTTAACGTCAGAAAAGATAAATAGAAATTATTAGAATGGTTTGGAAGGGATTTTTTGTAGGGCAGGGTGGTATTCGTTTAAAGATACATTATTGGACTGTTATATCTGATTTCAAGCTGCTGGGTAATTAAAATGATTAACATCCCTTACTCATAGAGTTCAATTCATTAAAGTTTTAAGCACCCTTTGTGCTCAGAATGAGAGGATGGGGCATTCATGTTGACTCGCGCCAGGAGTCACTCAATTCGGCCCTATGTTTATTTTCCCTGGTCTTTCAAGCTATGATGTCCATTTCTAAGCTGCGGGAGCACGCGGGGTGGAAAACATCAGCCTTAAACATTCACCCCGGTAGGATCTCTCATTCAGAGAGGAGGAATGGAAAGGAAATAGAGAAACCCAGAAAATTCTGCTAACCCAGTTGCTGGGACCCAGAAAATTCTGCTAAGGATGTCACCCAGGTTCTACCCAGGGTGTCCTCCCAGTTGCTGGTACCTGGCAAACTTTTGCGATTTTGTACTTAGCAGGCATGATCAGAACGTATGTCTCGCCTGCAGGTATGCAGTGTCCACAGAGGATCTAGGCAGAGCACCTACATCTTGCAAACCTGCCGGAGCATGTTGTGGGGATACAATTCTCATTATTATTTCAGTTAAAAGGCACTAAAAATATATTGCTCCTGTGCTATCTTTCTTCGTTTTGCATTTTGACATATCCAGCACCATGTTGGTGAATAAATGGGATATTTTAAAGAGCACACTCATTTGACGGTAGAATAAAAATGGTGTACTCTTTAGGGTACACGCTGTTTTACCAACTCACTCCCCAATGTTCAGGGACAGAGAAAGACATAAACTTGTTTTCTCGTCTCCTGCATAAAGTCTAGTCACCAATAGCAGTGATCTACAAGGCTACTTGGGAGGCAAACTTATTTTTAAAGGCAAATATATGACTTGGAATTTCTTGGCCGGGCGCGGTGGCTCAGGCCTGTAATCCCTGCACTTTGGGAGGCCGAGACGGGCGGATCACGAGGTCAGGAGATCGAGACCATCCTGGCTAACACGGTGAAACCCCGTCTCTACTAAAAAATACAAAAAACTACCCGGGCGAGGTGGCGGGTGCCTGTAGTCCCAGCTACTCAGGAGGCTGAGGCAGGAGAATGGCATAAACCCGGGAGGCAGAGCTTGCAGTGAGCTGAGATCCGGCCACTGCACTCCAGCCTGGGCGACAGAGCGAGACTCCGTCTCAAACAAAAAAAAAAAAAGAAAAAAAAGAAAAAAAAATGACTTGGAATTTCTCACCTTTTGGCAGATTCTGGGGAAGGTCGACACCAGCACTGCCTAGCTGTGTGACCTTGAGCAAGACAGTTAGCCTCTCTGAACCTCAGTGTCCTTCTCTGCAGGCTGGAGATTGATGTATCTTCACTATCAGGATATGAGAGTGTTATAAGTTAGTGCTTGGTACAATGCTTGGCCCAGCATGGGTGCTTCATGCATAATAGCTACTATTGTTAGTATCCATTACGATGTGAATAACAGTGTTACTATTTGCACATATTTGAGCATTGTAGGCACTGAGAACCAATGGGAGGTGTGCAAAATGGAGCCAGGCTTTCCTAGCCAAGGGCCCCAGGAATGTGGCCCATATGGTAAGCTGGCATTTTCTCAGCTGGTGAAGAGTTATCCAGTCATCTCTTTACTCAGATCATTCACTGGCATAGAAACTTCTGGAAAAACTAGTTGCAGCCAATACTTCATTTAATTGATGTCAAAAAGCAAGAGACAGAGAAAGTATGCTCATAAATATTGTTGCAAGAGTGGGTTTTGGATCAGTGTTTAGGGAAACCGACCGAGTGATGAATGCCAGGGAATATGGGTAGGTCTTCCCACATGTGCGGGTCCTAGGCACAGTCTCTGGGTCTCTGCAATTGCTCTGCTTTTCCTGGAGTAGGGGGGGACCTGAGGCTACTGCTGGCCCACACACAACAACTCTCCCTGCCCTTTTTCCTGTATCATTGCCCTGAATAAAGAGGTCTGTACCAGCTTGGTGGAAATACACGCACCGCTGATGTATCCATCTTTTTTTCAGGTGGGATTGCGGAACATGCTGACTGGTCTGGGCCAGTCAAGGTAAACGCTTGTTTTCCCGGCATAATAACACCCCTCTCCATCTGCAAAGTGGCCTGGTTGGCACAATAAATTATATGCACCCCCAGTGGCGGGCATTTTAGGCATTGCCCCAGGTGACTTGGAAACCCCACTTAAAGCTACAGATTGGGGTCCGGGAGCAGTGGCTCAAGCCTGTAATCCCAGCACTTTGGGAGGCCAAGGC